TTCATTTTTCCGCCCTAAGTGCAGTACCTTACATTTCTCCATGTTGGAACTCAAGTTAGAACTCGCAATTTAAAGAACAATACAATTAAAAGCAAACAAAAAGTGGGCATTAAAATAGAATTAAGCTATTACAGTATTAAAACACATCACACATTAAAAGAATAAAATGCAATTGATAAAAAGGTCTTAAAACAGTTCAGTTACTACAGAATGCCCTAGCCCATTTTTTAAAAAAAACTCTCTGTTGTAAAAGCCTGTCTGAATAAAAAGGTTGTTAGCCTGCTGATGGTAGGAAAACAAGAAGAGGGTCATTCTGGCCTTCCTCTGAAGGGAGTTCCAGAGTCTAGTGGCAACCACTGAGAAGTATTATGTGTGATATTAATGTATATGTTCCTTTGAGGACTTCTTCCAGACTGAAAATTAGTATTTGATTTTTAACTGATGACAAAAAATATATTCAGTTGTGTGATACATATTGTGTAGATGACTGGAAGAGGAGTACACAAATAGTTAAGATAATTATTAAATCATAATACTGACCTATAATGGGAACAGATCCATTCACAGTCACTCAGAAGCTCATCAATGTCCAAACCCTCACCCCTATACAGCATAAATATGTAGTTTGTAGTCATTACCTGAAACAAGGATAATGAGGAGTTTTGCTCCAGGTTCTAAGAGACTGTGAAAGAATTTAATTGTAGCTGGGATGTCTTTTACATAATACAGCATCTAGGAATAAAAAGAATATTTTAATGTAAACTGGGTGTACAAACAATATTTCTATGTGTTTTCTCATTTTTTTTTGTAAGAAAGAAATAATTCAAATATATACAAACTGAAAAATCTATTTACCCACGCTTCATCCAGGTGCACCAGATAATGCAAATGACAGCTTTCCATTTATCTTTCTACAGCAGAGTTTGCACACATTCTTCTTCAATAGTATGAATGTTTTCCAATCTGTCAACCCATTCAAGGCAGCTAAGACAATGTAGCAGGTACAAACTTGAATCTAATTATTTGTCTCAACTGGAATAGACCCACTGTATTGATGGGGTTTACAAAAGTGTTGATACCTCACTCAAAAATTAGGTCAACAGGGCTATTCTAGTGACAATGGCCAATGGGCTTCAAGTATGGACAATTTTACCACTACTACTTCCAGAAAAATGGTATAACATGCATTCCTTGATTCCTATTATTATTGTTGTGTGTCTTCATGTCATCTACAACTTATAATTACTCCAAGGCAAGCCTATCATGGAGTCTTCTTGGGAAAATATGTCCAGGGGGATTATCTTTGTTTTCCTCTGAAGCTGAGAGAGTGTGATTTGTCCAAGGGTACCCAGTGGATTTCTATGGTTGAACAGGGATTTGAACCCTGGACCTTGAGTTGTAGTACAATGCTTAAACCACTAAACCATATTGGCTTTCTAACCCCTTTAAAATGTGTGTAGTTTTTAAGAGCTGGCATGGATTTTTTTTCATTCCAAAAAATAACACCCTTTCTATGAGGCTGGAGGATTTATACACCCAGTGACTGGAAGAAACATTTTGATGAGAAGTGAGAGGGTTTTCTCCAGAAGAGATCTCCATACAAGTTCCTGACTGAAGCCCCACTCCTAGAAGGTAGCATGAGGGAAATCACCATGATCTCCAAGATCTCCAATATGCGGTTTAAGACAGAAAGGATGCTCTTCCTAGATTTACTGCTCCTCATATTTTTCTCTATGGAAAAAATGGAAGAAGAGGCTGACTGTGGTCTTAGCCAGTGAGAGAAAGGGAGAGAAGTAAAGCTGTAACTCTGACTGAAGGACTAGACAGAGGAGCTCCACCTAATACTTTGCTTAAAGATCTCATGATGTCAGGATATGGCCACAACCCTGAAGGTCATCCCATGGAGGCCTGTTAGTGAAGGTAAGGCATCTGGCTTCCCACCTCATTGCAGTTCCCCACCCATAGTTTACATAGGGTTTATCTTCATTGAACAGTTATATCAGTTTCATATGACCCTAACTGTCATGGCTCCATCCTGTCAAATTTTGGAATTTGTAGTCTAGTGGGATGCTTGGAATTTCTCTGTTTAGGCAGCTCTGGTGCTTTAGTTCAGAGGAATATGACAGAAATTCCAGAGCAAATACAGTTAACACCTTTTGGTGCCATGTATGTTGCAGTATGACCTTAAGTAAAAATAAATAAATAAATGTCTCCCAGAGAAAATTCATAAAGTGAACAGAAATAACAGCAAAGGAATGTGTGTGCTGTCTCTGAAAGTTTCCCCACTATTACATGGCTGCTTAATATGATAGAATACACCTAGGTAGCTGATCCAGGACAGCAGTTTCACACATTCAAAGGGAAATAAGCAAGAGAGTCTTGTGGGACTTTTGAAGATAGTTGGAAAAACTTGTGCTCAGTTGAATTCCTCTAGTACTGGAGGAAGAGAAAGGGCTTGGAATTTTCAAGGCTTCCTCCCCATGTAGACCTTTATGTTCCTGAAAAGCTACTGGAATGGGAGAAAATACTCTCCTCATCACTCTGGCAGGTAATGTGTGGGCTTCAAGGAGAAGATGGGATCAGCATAAAATTTCTCTACAACCTCTTTTTCCAGCCAGATGTTTCTTCCATATCCTCCAAAATGGGAGACTTTCCATTTGCGGAGAGAACTCTGAATCTAGTCCTTATTTACACTGACATAGCTTTTTGGTGGACAGCCAGCATTGTGTAGTGGTTTGAGCATTGGACTACAACTCTGGAGATCAGGGTTCAAATCCCCACTCAAATATAGATACCCATTAAGTGACCTTGGGTAAGTCACACTGTCTCAGACTTAGAGGAAGGCAAAGGCAAATCCCTTCTGAACAAATCTCACCAAGAGAACTCCATGACAGGTTCACCTTAGGATCACCATAAGTTGGAAATGACTTGAAGGCACACAACAACCACAAGTTTTACATGGCTGAAAACCCACTTTTTTGTTGGGCTGTTAGATACCACTTGCATTTGTCTACCCTTTGTATTTTGTATGCCTGGCTTTTATTATTTACCAAAAAAAAAAAAGCACCCAGCTACAGAGAGAGCAAGAGAAATGTATATACAAAAATTATTTTGCAAATAAATATAATAAAATGCATGGGTTTATAGCAGGATTGTGGCACTAAAATGCAATATAATACATGAAAAGTAATACATGAATGTTATGTCCCAACAACACCTCAGTGCAATACACTATTCATCCTTTTACCTGGATCATGTGAATGAAATGCCACTTCTTCATCTCTTTGCTTGCCTTCATTCGACCTTCGTATTCCAATGAAGTCTCCTTGTGCCAAGTAAACTTTATGTTCTCAAGGCTTGATGTCTTTGCAACATGTTCTAAAATATGATAGTTTCACAGTTTATCTCAACTGCAAATATGGAATAAATTTCCATATCAAATTTTCAAGTAGCTGAAAGCCATATTTTTTAAAAAAATATATGACATTGGTGTCAGTGATGAGACTTAATCCTGAGCTGCCAGCTGTTTCTTTTCATTCTTAACAGATTCACTTTATGGAGCAAACCAAGATGTGAAAGAAGTAAGGAATTTTTTCTGCATAGGTCTTATGACATTCAGAATCTGTTTCCATTTCCACTTTCTCCAATATCTTAAAATGAGTCCAACATGGACGAAAAATACATTTATTTGTTCAAGCTTTGTATCTAGAAATTGGATTGTGGATGCACACTTCAGATTTAAAGTAAACAAAAGAAAGATAGCATTTCATCAGTAAGATATAATAAATATCTTAAGATTGTTAAAATATAGATTCAATTGGAGACCAGCAGCTTGCTACAATTTTCAAGGCTTAATTGATTTGTTGCTGCAATTTTCCAAAATTCTTCAGAGGGGGTTATCTAGCTTCCTCCTTTCCATCCAGGTCTTGTAACACGAGGGCTCACCCTCTGCTCTGCTCTGCATATACCTTCTGGTTAGAAGCAAGTAGCCTAGATTGAATTTTCCTTATCCCATCTTCCTAAGTAAGAGAGAGGGAATATTTTGATCTAGGAACAGCTCCTTTAGCTACTATTTGTGTCTTAATTTCCAAAGAGGAAACTCTCTCTCTCTCTCTCTCAATCTCTCTCTCTCTCTGTGTGTGTTGAATGACAAACTGTGATAAACTATGGTTCATATTAAATGAATAACATTTAATAACATCAGCAGGGGCTATCCTTAGGTCTCAAGTTTTGGCCCAGAAACCTCAAAGCCTGGGATGATCTTATGTGAACTCGCAATCCTAAAACTATTACCAAGCTCACTGTGTCTTCATTTTAAAGCCTTGTGAAGGCACCCCCCCCATTTCAACACAGGTTTGAAATCTGAGGACTGAACACCCCTCTTCTTCTCCATTACCAAATGGACAGACAATGCTCACTGCCCCCCACCCAAAGCCCCTTGCTAAACACTGTTTTGAGTGATGTCCCTGTCTTTTTGTGTAGAAATTATTTGGAGAGAGAGAAAGAGGCTCCTCTATCACTGTTACTTTAATCCTATTTCAGCGATGACTTCACTGCCTGAGACACACTTACATCCAGTCCTTTGGTAGCTCTAAGAACTTTATATGCACAAAGCATTCAGACACCTGTGCTTTGTTATAGCACCAACTTAACAGACTGAACCAAAGTGTAACTTTCCTCAGTGCTCTGATTAGGATACATCTGGGTGAAATAAGATGAGAAATGTTCCATGAGTGCTTATCTTTGCATTCCCTATTGGACATAGGCAACCACTTCTGAATGCTGCAGCTGTTATTCAGTCTTCTTCCATTTATCAGTCTCTAGCCTCTATGACCACAGTTCAAATCTAATTTGCTATTTTAAACTCAGACATCATTGAGCAGTAATCCATATCAGCATTGAAAATAATCTGGCTCAGTCTGCTTCTATTTAATCACTAGATAGTCTGCAAGGAGATGTCAGGAAAACGAAGAGTAGGAAAAGAAAGCTAATGCCTGTCAGTGTGGCTTCTTTATTTCAAAAAGGCAGAAGTGGGTTAACTATCAAGGAGGTTTTGAAAGCCCTGAAGACAGTATATCTCAAGGCCATTTCACACAGAACTATTTTTTTACATGGAAATGTCTCTACCTCATGTATACAGCCAATCACTACATCCCATTATGAACATGCTAGCAAAATAGATGTGTTCTTAATAGAAAGACACCCCACAACTTGTCAGGAGGGGTTTCTTGTTGTACTGGCCAGATAAGGACAAAGACTCCTCATTGGTCAAGGCGCGGGGGGGGGGGAGTCACACCACCGCGCCTGTGCCAACAGGATGGTGTTAACAATTCTCGCAAGGCTATTGTTATGTGAGATTTGAATGAGAGTTTGTTGCTTAAAACTCAATGCAACCACATGGAGGCAGCCATTTTTATAGTCGAGACAGTGAGAGTTACTTCGAACCGTTCTCGGCTTTTGGCAACCCATCCCTTCCACCCTTGTTTCAGTGATAATTTACTCTTAGGCCTTGGCTGGTCACCTTCGGGGGCCGGGAGGGATTTTTTCTCCAAGGTTACTTGGGTTTTTCACCCTCCCTGAGATTCTTTGTTGATTTTCTGTCTGGATCGTGATTATCTGTTAGTTGTTTTGTCACAACTGGGGGTACAGGGTCTATGTTTTGTTACATGTTTAATTTATTGGGGCGGGGAATGACCCCATCCCACAGATAAAATTAACTCAGCTAGTTAAATTGGGAATAGAAAAAATTCAGCGCTAAACAAATTTACAGGACATGACATAAATAATTAAGGGTTTACGTCATAGCAAATTGTGATGTCATATGACATAATATGACGTCATTCCGGGGAAGGGTTTTTGTTTACATCTTTGTTTTTGTATTTGTTTACATCTTTGTTTACTTATTTACTGCTAAAATATGTTGTTAATTATTGTTTTACCACGGGCAGTGAAGAACCACCCTTAGGTGGATATACCTTCACTTACACCTGTGGCAAAGCTGTTTAAAATAATTTAATTGTTTGGCTTTGACCCTGTACAATTTAATAAAAGTTGTGGCCTGTTTTAAACCCATGAAAGGAGTCTTGTGTCCTTTGTGCCAGTGCAACAATATATATTGCATTGAGAGTGCATATGTGTGCTTACACCCATGTAGGAAGCTCTGTATCTGTAAAGATTAGAATCTGTTTTGTCATTAATATTTTGTAAATCATCCTGAGTCCCAGTATTGGAAGGGAGAGAAGGAAGGAAGGTGCATCTGCACTGTAGAAATAATGTAGTTTAACACCATTTTAACTGCCATGGCTCCATCCTAAAAAAAATCCTGGGATTTGTAGTTTTGTGAGGCACCAGCATGCTTTGGCAAAGAAGGCTAAAGATCCTGTAAAACTACAAATCCCAGGATTCCATAAGATGGAGCTAGAGCATTTAAAGT